CAAATTACCACTCTTCCTATTCCTATGCTCTTCAGCTTATGCTCGCATTTGTCTATCATTGAGACCGTACGTGCCATAACGACACCCAATGCACGGCAGCTTTGGTCCCCTGTGACGACTTTTCCAGATTCCGACGGCTTTTGGGCTGTGGAATCATGAGCGCTTTAGCGTGATTACTCTTACGAACTACTCTTTGCACTACCGTCAACATTCATCCGCTCCTAGCCGATTCCTTGAATTTCCTTTTCCGCTTGGAACGTTGCTTTACCTACTTTGCTCCCGCCTTCGGTCTTAACCTAGTTGTCCGTAGTTTCACATAAGATGCCTCTAGCATTCGGACTGCTGCCATCATCATCGGTTAACCTGTTTCTATCCAACCATCGCATCATTCGCTTAACTTTTGTTAACACGCGTTGTTATATCGGCCTTTTGACCCTGCGCGTGCAGAACCTTCTTATAAATATAAATAACTATGGGTATATTTCTAGACAAGCGCTAGATGCTTTTCCTGCGTGGATCAGATCAAATTGTACATAACATCCATGCTCATGCATGGAGAAGAAATATCGTCAACAACTGCTTTTGATCGTGTTTATCTTTCCGAACAGTAAAGCAGTGATAAATACAAACGTTTCGTAGGCCTCGACAATTTTGAAGGCAGTAGTTTGGGTCTCCGTAGCTTATGTACGAATTCTGAGCTTTTCACCGGCTACCACTGCCAAAACTTGAGGTGCCTCTTTAACTGGGAGTTCAGGTACAGACTTAGCATATACCTGTTAGTAGTAATTGATTTTCCCGCTCAGCGTTAAATTACTTCGCCACGTTTTTATATCTTACTGTATATTTCAACTTTTGATTGTTCCTTTGCATCACCAAAGTGACAGGGGAGTTAGGTCAACATTGTTAGTTCTTTGCACTATTGTTGAGCTTCGATAGATGACAGGAGTACAAAATGCCTTTCAGTTGAACCACCTCGCACTTCACTCCGTACCGTGGCCAGGAATAATGATTTTTGATGCAAAGGCGAGAAAATCGTTGTGGTATTACTGTAGCTACCTGATATCGATGACAAATGGACTCGGAACAACATGTGATGCAACTTAGTTGCCTGTGCCAGGAAATCGGTTCCTTTATACACCAGTTTCCGTATATGTCTGCCTCGAGATTTGGGACGAGTAAAAAATCTAATAATGACAGGGATAAATCGCTTGCGATGGGTTTTGGCAAAAGGGGACAAACAATCGTTTTTTGTTCTCGATTTATCTGCTACATACTAAGGGGAGAAAACATTGCTGGTATTACATTGTTATTATGGGATTATATATGCGTTATCATGCCTTATAATTTTATTATGCGGTAATTTACGTGTGGAATAAAAGTTCACGAATGCCTGAAATAATGCCAAAAGCACTTTGTAACCAAGGAAGTTTGTATAATTGTGACCGCGGTTATGTTTTTGCACTAATTATAGGTTACGCACTTCGTGTCCTTGTTACAACTTTTTTTTCGTCGGAAAGCAAACTACTCCACTGATCTTTTTACTACATGCTCATAGCTGATATGAGTTTACAACAGTATCTTAGCGAAACACCTCGATGAAATACAGGCAAAACTACGAATTGATTTAACTCATGGTAATTGATCGCAATCAGTATACCAGCACACTTCCATGATGTCAAGGGTGATCAGCCAATGGGAGACATAATACGTGATTGGTCATACTGGCAATCTGGCGTCAAGTTTCACTACCAGTCGAGCAAGATGACGTCTAAGTGAGTGGTAATAAGCAGTGGATTGGTTGATTGTGTTGACGCTGCAACCGTTGCAGGCTGTTGGAAGAGAAGCTTTGTAGGCTTACGGGTTGACTGCACGGTTGCCTTCCTTGCTCGCTTGCCTAGCTGGCCGCACGTGATACGGGATGCATAGTGTAATCGTGCCAATACGAGCAATCTGGAGAATCGATAAGTGTGCGATTTCGTTTAGGATATGCGTGTGGTTGTTAAGGCAGTGTGCTGTAATCAGAAACATTGCAGCAATTCGTAAAGCTAGGACTTCTTCGCAAATAGAATTATTAAAACCCATACAGCTACAAAATTCTCGTGCTGTGTTGTTTCAGTCGGCCGTACACTCATGTGAATAGCGTAGCTACGTATTGCTGATGTAGTCGGCGCATTCTATACTAAGGTCAATTTCGCTGTGTAGGTAAGACCACCAGTGGATCTGTAGCCATTGTTCCAAAGAGGAGGCTTCCTAGTGTGGCGGTGACACAATATTAGTGAGTGTTCGTTCGTCTCCACACCTATGGGTTACTTCGGTAATCAGTTACCGCCACAGGACCCATAGACCTGCCGTTATGTTGTCGTAAGATGCATGTTAATCCTGCGTTTCAACATGATATTTACACTTCACTTCCAAGTGATTGATAAGCTTTAAATATCAAGTGATCCTACGGCCCTGATATGATTTACCAACGAGCATTACATACGCATAGTAAGCATAGCGTTTGGAGCAATTTTCCTCCATCAAAAATGCCTCCGGAGTTACCTACTTTCCAATGGCAAAATGTTTCCGAGTAGCTGCCAACTCGATACCAACCTGTGTCACGGCGTACGCACATGATTGCTTCTAAGACTAGCTGAAACATTAGTCCACAGCAAGATTAGTGGGCGCGGTTGCCTTTGTAAATGATTGCAAACACATTGTAGGAACGCCCGTGGGTGAGACAACAGTGTTTGTCTGTTCCAAGTACTCATCTGAATTACCAGAGTAAAATGCCTGCGTCACCACTAATTATAAGTCTTGCGTTCTTTCTAGCAGGACGATGTGGCATGTATAAACACCGTAGTCATTTTAGCCCCTTTAGGTGTTTCTTTGTTGAGTAATGCCCATTTCACGAGGATAGCATGTCCGTCCATGGACGTAATAGGGAGGTTCCATCTGCATTGACTGTAGTTCTAATGGTTCCATTTGAAGAGGCACTTGTCAAAGCGTCTCAACACGTATGGGCGATCATATGGAAGTGAGGCTTAATTATCCTATGAATACATAGGTTCCTATGACCTTTACATAACGCCATACATGGAGACACCGAAGCGATAACTGATTAACAAAGTCGCCCATGGGTGTGGAGACAAACGAACACTCGCTAACGTCGTGTCAACGCCACACTTGCAATCCTCTTATTTTTGTTGTGTCATGAACTGTGATCGAAGTAGGGAAACTTAGTATTTTCGTTGTTCAGCTTCAGGTTGGTCTACCAACTTCAGTGGGAACGATGTCCCCATGGTCGTCGCAGTAACAATCGCACAAATTGTATAACCACCTAGAAGCAATTGCTGAACTGCAGAATACAAGTTAGATGATTGCCTGTCTACGCCACCATGGGCGACCATATGGAAGTGAAGCCTAATTATCCTATTAATACAGGTTCCTATGATTTTTACATAACGCCATACATGGAGACACTGAAGCGATAACTGATTAACAAAGTCGCCCGTGGGTGTGGAGACAAATGAACACTCGCTAACGTCGTGTCAATGCCACACTTGCAATCCTCTTATTTTTGTTGAGTCATGAACTGTGATCGAAGTAGGCAAACTTAGTATTTTTGTTGTTCAGCTTCAGGTTGGTCTACCGACTTCAGTGGGAACAATGTCCCCCATGATCGTCGCAATAATAATCGCACACAATTGTCTAACCGCCTAGCGGCCATTGCTGATTTGCGGAATACCAGTTAGAAGATTGCCTGTCTATGTCACCATGGTTAGGCCGCTGAATAAGCCACCACCAAGTAGCCGCTAGCGATCACTATAGACCGCTTCATGTGCTGATTAGTATGTCTGTCCGCACTGGTTATGTCTTAAGCTTCGGCTCATGTGGTAGCTAGGATCTCCTCCTTAGACAGGCATCACAAATTGCGGATTGGACGGTTTCACTTTGGAGATCAATCATCGAGGTTTCCTTCAGATAGGCGTCAAGACAGAACAGAGGGTGGTGCTCGACCACTTTCATTGGATTGTCTATCGCTTATGCTGTGGGCTTCTAACCTGTGTCCCATGGGTTTACGTCCCTTGACCAATGAGACTGTCAACGACGCCAAAACAGCGTTCTTAGCCTCGCTAACTTGAAAGTACTGCACGCGATTTCGAAAATGTGCCACTCTAAAAGCTTGGTAAAATGCACTGACACGCGTGTAAAATGGTATAGGCATGGTAAGCTTCTATTTTAAACACCTTCCTTTTACATGCATATTCATAATTAGCTAGTTTTTTAATTAGCTTGGATGCAAACACATAAAACCAGGTGGCTATCTGATGTCTTCGGAAGGGTGAGCAATTATCATATTCTGGCATTCACTTTCGTTTATTTCACTTATTCATGATTTGCATTAGCTTTTTCATCATCACTGGAAATGTACCCGTGACATAGTGGTTCTTACATTGGAATTTTAATCTCGACTTCCTGAGTTAGAGCCCTGGATCTCAGTTGGATTAATTAATTGATGGGCTTGTAGTTAATATCTCGCTTGCAAAAACATTTTTCTTGAACTAGCTTGATACCTTCTTCCTTAACTTAGGCTCCTTCTGCTGGATGAAATAAGGCATACTCTTCATATACATTGGTTAGGGTGAAGTAGTTTCACTTCAGTGCAACATGTATTTTCCCATTACATTTTGCTAATCTACTTACTAATGTCTAGCGCATTAAGTTAAAGCATCTACAATGAAATTATCTCACTTGCCGTTACGCCGTGTAACACATGTTGACTCATGTCTGTATCATGAATCGTTATATATGTCTTGTTCATTCATCCCATCTCTACCTTTGATTAGGCAAATAATGCAGCATATTATACCTTTTACTTACCTGTTCCACCATATGGACCGTTACCTTACTCCAAATGAAACAATTCTGAAGAACCTTTCTAGGCTTGCGTTTTCAATAATTTTAGGTACATACTTAAAGAAGTGTCTGAGAAGGCAACGCTAATCGTCGAACTTATGCGCAACAATGCGATCGCATGCATTTGCGATATTATTACTCGTGAGACCACGCATGACTGCTCCCAATTAATTGTCAGTAGCGAGTTGATGTTGCTCGCCAAGGATGTGGAATCTGCAGCTCTCCAAGCGGAGCAAATATTCTCTAATCCTGGTGGACCCGCGTTTCGCGGACAACCCAGACTAAAAGGCACAACTCTTGCATTGATCAAACCGCACGCAGTCGCTGATGGTAAGCATGCAATTTTACCTGACACGACTTAATATGTATCGATTATGGCACGCAATATGTTATTTTCCTCAGCCAAATGATGTCAATGTCTTGATACCGAAAGGCAGAACTTGAAATAAGTTACGAAGCTTGGAAGCGCAACACCATACCGTTTTGGCTTTTTGTATATTCATGTCATAAGGTAGAATAGTCCCGCTTTTTTATTTTTCTACCCGTGGTTGTATACCGACTTTACAACATTTGAACTCAACAATTTAAATTCATGCTCGCTAACGGTTGTGTTAGCTGTCTGTACGTGTCACTGCACATGCTCAGTCCCTAAGAAACTCCAGAGCCTGAATTGTGCTGTGAAAGATGTCCTCAATCTACTTTTCAGTTTTGACAGTGCGAAGACTGCCGGTCCAAATTGGTTCCATCCACTGATTCTCAAGTCACTGTCGACCATTTTCTCGTTCTCCGTGACTGATCTGTTCAACAGATCGTTTTCCGATGGTGCATTGCCGAATGATTGTAAATTCTCGATAGTGAAGCCGATTCCGAAGGCCGGTGATTCAAGCAAGGTGGACAATTATCGGCCGATTTGTTTGACTTCCTTTTTGGCAGGAATAACAGAGAAAATCGTAAAAATGGGTCTGCTGCAGTTGTTCAAGTCGAAAAGCTTGATTACCACACAGCACCATTTCATGACGAGCCGCTACTTTATCATCAACATACTCATGATGAGGCATGTATGGTTTCAAGTGTTGAACCGAGGGAAGTCAGTGAATGTGATCTACATTGCTTTCATTATAGTTTTCGACAAGGTGAATCGTGGGGTCCTTCACACCAAGCTAAGGATGTGGGGTGTTAGTGGCTCAGTACACAAGTGGATCAGTTACTTCTTTGTTGGACGGAATTGGAGGGTACAGGTGGATGACCATCTAACGTACTGGTGTCCCCCACTAGCGAAGTACCCAAAGGTATAGTACTGAGGCCCATTTGATTCCCGATGCACATGATCGAAGTGTCTCAGTTTCTTAGGTCGTCCTGTGTCACGTTCGCAGATTTAGAGAATCATTGACGTACTTCAACATGACCTCGACCTCCTGTCCAGGTGGTCTGCAGATATCGATCTACCGGGCAACCCAGTCGAATCGTTGCATATGAGCACAATTGCAATATGCAGCAGACGTTCAGGAATCGGTGACATGAATCTGCGCACGTGCCTGAACTAATTACGATGGAGCAACACGGCCGTAATTCTATTAGCTCTATTTGCAATATTGAGTATTCGATGAATTATTCTGGTTCAGTTTCGTGATCGAAATGATCATGAATGACTTGGTCCCCTCGGACTCTACCGGCGTGGAAGTTCTGCCAAGTGAGCGACTGACAAATCTTTAGTATGCGGACGACGTAGCTCTGTTTGGGTCTAACGTAGTGGTTATGCAACACTACTCTATAGGCTGACGCGTACTGATGCACACTTTGGCATGTGTTTCACCTTCAAAGTGCCAAACACTGTTACAAGACTGTACCAACACACCTTTGGTTCTAGCTATCACCAAACCGCCACTAGGAGGGGTGCATTGGTTCATTTACCTTGGTAGCTGTCACTACTGGTGATCACTGAGGAAGTTACTTGGCGTAGCAGCAATACCCGTGTGGCCTTCCGGAAACTCAACCTTCTATGAAGACGACGGGATATCAGCCTGTCAGTGAAAGGTGGGGTGTATAACGCTGCGGTATGGCCAGTCTCACTCTTTGGATCGGAGACCTGGTCAGTTCGCGACGAAGACCTTAAGCGCTTATCCGGATCTTACCGCCGGTGCTTGTGAAGTATTGTTCACATCTGGTGAGAACAGCGGGTGAGCAATGCTGAGCTCCGCAAGTTGGTTTCGGCAAGGAACTTTCTGGTGACTTACTCGGGTGTTTATCGCATCTTAATCGCTTACCTTGGCTACGCCATGCCCTACGGATATTCGTTGACAGGCTTCCTTGGCGGGCTTTATACGAAGTGGCTTCATCGATTTGGGCAAAAGTGCAAGGTGTCCAGCGCATTACGTGGCATAGAGGCATGAAGAAATTGACTAAGAGGCTTGGTCAGGCGGGTACGTGCCGTCTTCGTGGACGGGAGTCTCGGGAAGATCCACAACAATGGCTGTAGACAGTATCAGACATGGCGCAGACACGCAATCGGTGGCATTCCTGCATTTGGTTTATTTCATCTGGTTGTTAATTTTCGTTTCATTAGCGCGCTTCCTTCTTGCTTCCATTTCATTTACTTGCCTTTCATCACACTATCCTGCCATCCTTATTTATTGTTACGCTTGCGATGTAACTCGTGGCAACTGGATCCACCGCACCTCGATGCTGGGGTCATAGTTGTTCAACTGGACTGAACTGGTAAGTTATTAGAATACTTCCTCGGATCCCACGCAGTCCTGTAACATTCGCAGCCAATCATACATGAAATGCATCTTTTGTTCGGATCGCGATGCAAAAGCTATGCTTGCAAAACACCGAGAGAACTTACGTGATTGGCTAGTAGTCACACAAAACGTATTGATCTTTACCCGATGTCACCATCTTTTATAACATGGTGGCCATTTTCTCTTTCGCTACTATAACTCTGTGCTCCAGGAGATTGCTCAAGAGGTCGCGTTGAAGGCTGTGATATCGACGTTAGATTGCAACCTGGGTTTCTGTTCTGTAGTTCGCAACCGCACTTACGCCTTAAAAGTGTGCGACTTTTTCGCATCGTTATCTGTACGCTTTACGATTTTCCCTCACAGAAGTCTGCTTTCATTTAAGCCTAATCTGTGGCTGCACTTTATCGGAGTATGTCCTTTTACTGATCCACCAGCAGTGTGCTAGTCACCGACCCTCATCATTCATTGCATTACTCTGGATCATTACTCTAATTAATTTAGGTGGAACATACCGATTCCAGATGTAAGTTTTGCATAGGTTGGCCTGTTGATCTCAGTGTGTAGGACTAGTTAATAATAGTCCGAGACGATGCGCGGAATTAAGCGCGGATATCAGAAGGCAATTGGAGTCGGACGCAGCGGACTGTATTCCATGGGCTACAACAAGAAGCGGACGGATGAAGCGAGACGAGAGCGAGCACGTGAGCGCGGGAATTTACAAGGCTGTTGTGTGACGAGCCGGTTGTAAGGAAGATTAACACAAGAAGGAGTAATGTACAATCGGTCAACAATTAAATTGTACACGAAAGATAGCCGTTATCTTTTAGGGCGCAACAGAGCTCCCCCCCTAGAAGGCGGAACTTAGGAAGCCTTCGAAATCAAAAAAGATAGTTGAAACGAGGTTCGTAAGGCAAAATCGTGCCGAGTAAAAATGAATGAGCGTTCGTGTCAAGTGGTGGTTCGCCGGAAGTCAGAGTCCGCTGTGCCGTTTGTGATTTGTTATTTATTGATTGCTGGGCAGGGTGCATTTCGGCGAGCCGTTGGAGCGGGCTTGTCGGACTACAAAAAACTGGCTAGCCCAGAAAAAGGCCGACAGGACCTCAACCTCCGCTGCTGCCAAACGGTGCGCTTGGGAGTGGTCTCTCCCCCCGCCGCACCCCGCCCCGCGCCAAAACGACCCTCGTCCCACGAAAAAAACGACCATGGTCCCACGGAGAAGCGACCCTCGTCCCGCGAAGAAATGACCCTCGTCTTGCGGAGAAGTGACAGTCGTCTCGCGGAGAAGCGATCCTCGTCCCGCGAAGAAGCGATCCTAGTGTCGCGGAGAAGCGATGCTCGTCCCGCGAAGAAGCGATCCTCGTCCCGCGGAGAAGCGACCAGTGTTCGCGTCAGGGTCCTCATGTGGACCAGTCGATCGAAGCGGAGGGTTGGGGCATGTAAGGACGAGAAAATAGAAAAACACGCGCAGAAAACGCCAAAAAGAACAAACAAATGATCTGCGTGTTTTAACATTTTTTTGGTTTTTGAATATTTTTTTGAAAAAGGTTTTTCGGGGGTTTTTGGTATTTTTGTTTGTTTTCAAAACGTTAATCGACCAAAAATGAGGCAAATATATACAATATCTACAAAGTTAAAAGTATTTACACTGTACATAGTCGGAGAAACGGACGGGTTTACGCACCTCCCGACCACGGCGATTGGTCGTGGGAGGCGGCGGGCTAGATTCGGGAGAGGTTGGAACGGCTTGTAGACCGAGATCGTGGTCTGGTTGAACTGGTCTAGGATGATGTAAGTTGGTGCGATGAGTTGTAACGTCGCACGAAGCACTACTAGACGAAGTAGGCGAGGGGTCTTCTTCCATAAAGGCGGGTTTTAGACGGTCGATGGTGACGACTTCGTGTCGACCACCGCGGTCAATAGTGTACGCCTTACTCGCACGATGCAGCACTTTGAAGGGTCCTATGTACGGCGACTGAAGAGGCTGTCGAACACCGTCTGCGCGAAGAAGGACGTGTGAACAAGTAGACAGCTTCTCGGGCACGTACACTGGTGTCTTCTGCGATCGAGGAGCGGGTGGACGTAACTCACGCATCTGGTGAGCCAATCGGTCGGTGTAACTTCCGTAGTCAAAAGTGGAAGTACATGGGGCTGGTGCTACCAGCTGTCCGGGCAACCGCAGCGTGCAACCGTAGACTACCTGCGCTGGTGTGGCGTCGAAATCGGCCTTAACCGTGTTTCTTAAGCCTAGGAGAACGAGGGGAAGCGTTTCAGACCATGAAGGATCTGCGTGCGCACGTAGCGCTGCCTTCAACTGGCGGTGAAAACGCTCCACCATGCCGTTAGCGGCCGGATGATACGCCGTCGTCTGGACGTGGCGACAGCTTAAGTTTTTAAGCAACATGGCAAACGTCGACGAGAAATGTGACCCTCGATCGGTGGTCACGATGGCGGGACAGCCGTATTGAGCTACCCAGCTCTCCATAAAAGCTTTCGCTACCGTTTCCGAGGAGCAATTTGGGATGGGGACGGTCTCAGGCCATCTAGTAAATCGATCGATGCAGGTCGGTAGATATACCGAGCCTTTGGAAGGCGGCAGAGGACCTACGTGATGAAAACGTGCGTCTGGCATCGGAAACGTGCCTAATGGGCTTCTCGTGTGCTTGTGCACCTTCGCGCGTTGACACGGAAGGCAAGCAGCTGCCCAAGTATGGACGTCCTGGTTAACATTGAGCCAGACGAATCGTGTGGTTACGAGTTTAACCGATGCACGAACGCCTGGATGAGACAAGCCGTGCAACGCGTCGAACACGGTCTGCCGAAACTCACGTGGGACGACTGGACGCGGCGTGCCCAGAAATAAATCGCAGAGTATCGTTCCGTCTGATGATGTCAGCGGAACGGGTCGTATATCCAATGAGGGAGACCTGCGTAGTAGTTCAACCTCAGGATCGTTGAGTTGTGCTGTGGTTGCCACGTGTCGGCTACGCGTTGCTGCAAAACAGCGCCGACCGCGACGTCCGAGGCGTCAGTACTAAGGGACAGTGGGGCGGTCGGATCGTGATGCGCTATGGAAGCTATGTTGGCGATAGCCTCTTTCAGCGACTTAAAAGCAGCGCGTGCTGCGGTAGGAAATTCGAACGTCTTTAGTTTCCCTCGGAGAAGGTCCGTGAGGGGTTGCATCAGAGAGGCGCAGTTGGGTATAAATCGACGGTAAAAGTTGACCAGGCCATCAAAACGCCTGAGCTGTTTGAAAGAATGAGGCTCGGGGTAGTCGATAATGGCTTGAATTTTATCTTGCAGTGGCACGACGCCTGCAGAAGAGATACGATGGCCCAGGAAATTAACTGAATCGACACCAAACGAACACTTTTCTGCGTTGATCGTCACCCCGTGTTGAGATAAACGATCAAAAAGTGTTCGTACGTGGCGTATGTGCTCTTCTCGTGAAGAGCTTGCGATTAAAATGTCGTCAAGATACGCGTAAGCGAAGTCTAAGCCGCGACAAACTTGGTCGATGAAACGCTGAAAAGTTTGCGCGGCGTTCTTTAGGCCAAATGGCATACGCAGAAACTCGAACAAACCAAATGGAGTCGTCACGGCAGTTTTAGCGATGTCCGCCTCGGCTACCGGAATTTGGTTGTATGCGCGTACCAAGTCGATTTTGCTGAAGATACTTTTACCCGCCAGACTGGCGGTGAGATCCACTATGTGTGGTATCGGATAGCGATCGGGCGTGGTCACCGTATTTAAGGATCGATAGTCGCCGCAAGGACGCCAGTCCCCCACAACCTTCTTCGGGACCATGTGCAGAGGCGACGCCCATGGGCTGTTGGACGGTCTGACGATACCAAGTTGAAGCATGTGGTCAAATTCGGCTCGTGCTGCCCGTAGTTTGTCTGGAGCAAGCCGTCTTGGTCGTGCACTAACTGGTTGACCGCGCGTAACTATGTGGTGAGCGACCTCTGTCGTGACTGGTGGAAGCTCTGCAGCCGGTCGAACCAGTCGCGGGTATTCGGAGAGGAGGCTCAAGTAGTCGGACGGTGCGTCTGCGATCCGAAATACAGGGCTGATTACCGGGGCATCTGAAAGGACACCATCAACACCTAGTTTCGTACGGTCGTCTAAAAGTCTGTGGCGACCAGCATCAACAAGCAACCCAAAATGTCGGAGGAAGTCGATACCGATAATTGCGAAGGGTACAGACGCAACCATGAAGACCCACTGAAAATCTCGGCGAAGATTGAGGTCTAGGTTCATCATGCGCTGACCGAATGAAGCTATCGGAGAACCGTTGGCCGCACGCAAATTGTACGTAGGCTTCGAGTGCTTGTCGCTAGCGGTCGCTGGGATGACGCTGACTTCCGCTCCCGTGTCGATGAGGAACGTGATGGAAGAACGTCGATCCTTAACGTAAAACAGTCGGTTTGCTTGGTTATTGCATGATACGTTTGTAGTGCTAGTATGCGGGCTATTCGTTTTCCCAGGGTCGTGCCTAATGCAGGGAGCCCGACAACGTCTAGCTCTTCCACCGTATTGGCGGTGATACCAACATACTTCTTCGACGGGCTTGACATTATCTGACTGAGAACTTGTAAGGAAAATGTGGCGCTTTCGTGCCGAACGTGACGTATTCGGTGCAGGCACAGACGAGCCGCAATGAACGGTAGCCAAAACGTGGTCAGCATTTGACCGTGGCACACGCTGCTTCGAAGCCTTCATTGCTGCTATCCTGCTGCGAAGTAGCGCAATTTCCTCATCTTTAGAGTCAGATCGGTCTAGCGACTGGGAACAAACATTAGATTCGGTTTTCATCGGTGAGAATACGTCACCGGAGTTACTGGTCGTCTGCTGCGGAAAACGTTCGAACGCAGCGTCTGCCTTGGTAGCTAAGTCTTTCAAGGGTGCATCTATAAACATGGACAGCATTACCGGCAATGGCTCTGGGAGACGTGCAAACCACAGCTCCTTTATCCCTTCTTCGCTCAAGAATAAGGGACCAGCGATGCGCTGAAGTTCGCGGAGCAATGTCGACGGCTTGCGATCTCCAAGCTTGAGACCATTGAGCTGCTCAAATCGTGTTCGTGCGCTGGGTCGTAACTCTTTCAAAATCGCTTGCTTCATCGTTTCATACTTTGCCTCATTCGATGGGCAGAGTAGAATGTCCTCAATCAGCGTCACTACCGACGGAGGAAGGCGTGGGACGAGCTGATTGTACCTTGGACGGTCCGCCGTTATGCCCTTATTTTCTAGTTCGATCTCGAATATCTTAAACCAAACTTCTGGACTGTGTTCCATGAAACTTGGAACAGCCAAAGGAAGCATGGTTACGCTGTGAAACGACTCAGATGCAACTCTCGAAATGTGAGTCGAAAGATAAAGAACGAACAAAATACGATAAAAGTACCAAAATTACGCAAGAAACAAATGAATATAGGTATATAATCGAGAAAAAGGAACGAACTCACCAAAAAATACAAACGAGAAAAAATGTTGAATTCGCGCGTGCGAATCGGGGTCACCAATTTGTAGGACTAGTTAATACTAGTCCGAGACGATGCGCGGAATTAAGCGCGGATATCAGAAGGCAATTGGAGTCGGACACAGCGGACTGTATTCGATGGGCTACAACAAGAAGCGGACGGATGAAGCGAGGCAAGAGCGTACACGTGAGCGCGGGGACTTACAAGGCAGTTGTGTGTCGAGCCGGTTGTAAGATTAAAACAAGAAGGAGTAATGTACAATCGGTCAACAAGTAAATTGTACACGAAAGATAAGAGTTATCTTTTTGGGCGCTACAGTATCACCCCCTACACCTTCATTGCGACTTAACAGGGAAACTCCAGAGCCATGACGTAAAGGCGACTAGCGTCAATGACCCCCCGACGGCAGTCAGCAGCATCCGGCGGCATTCATCAAAAAGCATTCTGCAATTCACGCATCCTCTGCAACAACAGTGACCGTAAGAAAGACGGACGTCTTCCTTTCAGTCTCTTTCAAAGGGGATATCCCATTTGACCTACTGAATAAGAAATTGTCGACCTCAGTGAATCGAACATACCCAGGCGCAAAAGCCGACATCCATAGTGAGACCAGACCGCTGACTACACAACGTCTCAACGCCAAAATTCCGGCCCTGTCCGAATCATTCGTACTATATCAATTCACCTGCACTTTTGGTGCGCAGTGCATCGGACATACGATCAGACGTTTCTCAAGACAGATAGCGGAACACTGTCCGGCACCATTGCAATGGGGCACGGTCAAAAGGGTTCACAGCTTAATTTCGGCACATCTGATCAATAATGGACTTCATACCCAAACTAAGGACTGCTTTGAAGCTCTCTACATTGAGCCAAAAAGATCCCCGGAAGGAATCAGAAATCTATGTTGCACGCTGCGGAAGACATCGCGATCGACAGGCTGCAGCCGGAATTATGCAAACAGAAAATAATTGTGCAGTGTGATTTCTCCCTTGGCCATAGATCTGGCAGCTGACTGTTGCCTCATGGATCTATAGTTGTTGGTTGAAAATTGGCGTTCTTTTGAGGTTTCAAAAACTTTTGTCAGTTTTTTTGGCGTTTTCAAAAGCTTTTGCCGATTTTTTGAGGTTTTCGTACATTGTTGGCCAAAAGGGAAAAGGAAAGAAGAAAAGCAATGTGAAAGGAACACTAATCCATTAATCGCGCCGGCCGATGAATGCGCGCACCTGACCTAGTCGTCTTAGACGTCCTATCGGGTCGCAAAGTTGGAGGAACTGCTGAAGACGTGGCGGTCGGTTCGATGGGAAGTTGCGGAGCTGAAGTGGAAAGCTTGGATGGAGGGTGATGCTTAAGGTCAGGGATGTTGGAAGCAGGTGAGTCTTCCCTCATAGGCTGGGTTGATTCGTCAGAAGACGAGCAAGGGTCTTCATCGAGCTCAGGTTCCACGTGGGCAACCTTGAGACGGTCAATCGTAACGGCTTCTCGTTTACTGTGATAATCGATGATAAAGACGCGGTCCTTACGCTGCAGAACCTTGAAAGGAACTTCGTAAGGTCGCTCAAGTGGTCTGTGGAGACCATCGACGCGGAGAAAAACGAACGGACACCGCTGCAGATCTTGTGGAACAAAAGATCTACGTCGTTGTTCTCCGACGTCGGGAAGTTTGTAGTGACGCAGGCTCGTGGCTAGCTGACAAGCATAACTCGCGTTGTAACGGGGAATTATGAGACTATCGGAAAAGAAATCACCAGGTAAACGCAATGGTTGTCCATATACTAACTCGGCGCTAGACGTACGTAGATCAGCCTTTAGGGCTGATCGGATCCCAAGGAGGATCATAGGCATCACTTCAGTCCAACTCAACGCATTGGCGCTAAGGGAGACTTTCAGCTGTCGGTGGAAACGTTCCACCATGCCGTTCGCCTGCGGATGATAGGCGGCCCTGCGAATACGTCAGCATCCAATAAGTTTAAGAAGATCGTTGAAGGTGGAACATTCGAATTGCGGACCGCGGTCTGTCCTCACTGTGACTTGACAGCCGTGTGAAGCGACCCAGCGCTCGACGAAAGCGCGCGTTACGGTTTCCGCAGCTACCTCAGAGATGGGAACGGCTTCGGGCTAACGGGTGCAATGATCGGTCATGGTCAAAATCTAGACCATTCCTTTGCACGGGGCCAGAGGTCCCACTATGTCGAGATAGACATGGGCAAATCGCGCTGAAACGGACGGAAAGCGACCAACCGGAGCGGACACGTGCCGCTGAATCCTGGCTTGCTGACAGGTGAGAAAGCTGCGTGCCCATGGCATGATATCGTGTTGCATCTCCGGCCAAAGGTATCTCTCGGAGACAAACTTAGCAGTAGCTTTAATGCCTGGGTGGGCAATATTGTGTAGGGTGTCGAAAACAACGCGGCGAAAAGTTTCTAGAATGACCGGTCGAGGTCGTGCGGTAAATATGTCTTATAAACTTGCACCATCAGATGACGGCAAAGGGTGTGGGGATATTTTCAAAGACGAATCACGGAATTCCGAAAAATTTTGGTCGTTTGAATGCATGGCGACCATAGCAGACAAATCGATTGCCTGCCCGGCAGGACCGATCGCAGATACTCTTGAAAGAGCATCAGCGACGACGTTCTGTTGACCAGAAACGTGTCTGATATCAGTCGAGAATTGAGCAATGAAATCCAGCTGACGTAACTCACGTGGTGAGTATCGAGCTGATTGATTCCGGAATGCGTAGATAAGCGGCTTGTAATCGGTAGAGATAATGAAGGTGTTACATTCGAGGACATGTCGGAAATGTCGAACGGTAGAGTAAACGGCCACCAGTTCGCGACTGAACGTGCTGTACTTGACTTCGGCAGGTTGTAGGCGTCTGGAGTAGAAAGCAAGAGGTTTCCAGCATCCATTTGTATGTTTCTGTAGGAAGGCGCTAATGGCGGTGTCCGATGCGTCAACAGCAACACTGAGCGTAACGTCCGGATCGAAATGATGAAGCATAACGGCTTTGGCTAACTCTTCTTTGCTGGCCTTGAACGCTTCGGCAGCAGCAGTCCGTTTCACCTGACCATTTTTACATCCACGAAATAGGTCGGTTAGTGGACCTAGCAAATTGACACAGTGTGGAAGAAAACGTCGATAATAGTTGAGCATGCCGTTAAAACGGCGAATAGCGGCTAACGTAGTCGGGACCGGAAAGTCTCTGATGGCGCGGACTCTATCGTCTAGAGGACGTATGCCATACTGATTAATATGGTGGCCAAGGAATTCGACGGAAGGCTACTGAAAGACGCATTTGTTTGGGTTCACCGTGATGCTATTAACGGCCAGCCTATCGAAAAAAATCTTGAGATGTTCTGCGTGTTGTTCTATAGAAGAGCTGGCAACTAGGATATCGTCGATATATGGATAAACGAAATCTAAACCTCTAGTGACTGAATCGGAAAAGTATGGGCTGCGTTGCGAATACCGAAGGGCGTACGCAAAATTGCAAGGAACCCAAACGCCGTGATTACGGAAGTCTTCCGTATGTCTTCCTCAGCGACTGGAATCTTGTGATACGCGCCAACCAGATCAATTTTAGAGAACATTCAGGTGTCGCGCAGGCTTGCCGTAATGTCCTGAATGTGAGGAATAGGATAGCGGTCGAGAACAGTAACGTTATTGAGCGCGCGGTAATCACCACATGGGCGCCAGTCTCCTGACTTCTTGGACACCATGTGGAGCGGTGACGCCCACGGGCTTTTAGACGGGCGAACGATGCCTAGTTCAAGCATGTGCTCGAATTCTGCGCGAGCAATTTTTAGCTTTTCAGGAGTCATTCGCCTGGCTTTGGCGAAAACAGGCGGACCTTTGGTAACGATGTGATGTTTTGCAACATCAGTGGCGGATGGAAACGGTGCCATTGCACAAAAGACTTGCGGGAACTTGGTATGAAGTGTCTGACCGATAGGTGAGCTTGACTGGTTGGCGTATACAGGACTGATTGACTCACTGTCGGTCAAAGTACGTATAACTACTGTTAGGTCTCGAACGGTCTGCTCCAAGGAAAATCGCGTTGTCTGAAAATCAAGTCGAGTTGGCGCCACTGATTCAGGCCAAATCTTGTAACTTGGATGGAAAAACAGAATTGCATACAGACCAAAGTCAAGTGCGCACAGAAACGAAACAAATTGACTTGTTCGGAAAGGTAAGTGCGCGATTTCCCACAAGGAACCGTGTGCCTTGCATTAGAACAGTCTTAGTTACAAGCAGACTAGTGTTTTTCCATGTTGCAGAACATTGTTACTATCGCTTGTTTCACGCCACTCACACGTCCCCTGTTTCTTTGAGACATATAAAATCAAACGAGCACACTTCCGTGATTTGAACTGTATCGGTGTGTTTTCATCCCAACGCGGCCTGTTCTGTGTTTCGCCAATATACCACTCGTCCAGTGGTTTGTCTTTTGAATCGCGTGGCACTATCTAGGAAGCCGCTAAGTCGAGCCCTGAAGACACAACAACTACCAGATTTGTTTGACGATCGATCAGACGGCGTTGCTTCGCGTCAACAAGCAAATCGAAGTGCTGCAGAAAGTCAAAGCCAAGAATTGGCGTCTAGACATCTGTGACGAGAAAGATCCATCTAAAAGCACGTCGTAGGTTTAAAGTAAACGTGCGCGAGCGTTGACCATACACGCAAATGGTGGTGCCGTTTGATGCACGCAATGAACTAGTCGCCTCTTCAATAACATCATTAGGATCACGTGGGATAACGCTGACTTCTGCGCGGTGTCAACGAGATGACTTACTCCCGTACTGCGATCCTTGACAAAGAAAAGGCGACTGGGGCAGCCAG